CCGCCGCCGCCGCCGCCGCCGCCGCCGCCTGCACCACGCAACCTCCGCCCTCTCCCCTTTCCTCCTCAGCTCCCCGCCCTCCCGGCCTCACCGGCTCCGGCTACCGAAGGGGAGAAGCTGGTGGGGGAGGGCCGGAACGCACCGCCATCGGCGTCCGGGGCGGGGGGGCGGGGGAGTGGGGAAACCGTCGCCGCCATCTCCACACAAGCCCGAGGCGCGGGAGGGGCCCGGAAACCTCCCGCCCGGCGCGGCCACTGCCCCGGGGTCGCCCCTCGCGCCGGCCGAGGATCCGCGAGCGGGGCGTGTTTCTACCTGAAAGCCCGTGGCCCCTTCCCCGAGCGCCCGCGCCATCCGCGGCCGGGCGCACCGGATCCTCCTCCAGGTTTTAGAGCCTCCCTCGCCTTTGGGAGCCTCAGAAGACCCGGCTTCCCGCCACTTCGGACCTAACGAGGAGGGGTCACCTTTTGAGGTTGGGGGCAGCAGCCTCTGGAGAAACTGCCCCAAAACACCCTGAAAGAGAGGGTCTTGCACCTCCCCCCGCCCCTCTCCTGTGCGCACATACCACACACAGCCCGAGCCAACGTGGAACACAACCACAAGTACAACCGGTTAATATGCCTCCCGCAACATCCCCGACGGGCCCGAGGAGCGAGTCAGAGATGGGCAAGTGGCCCTAAAAATCAGGCACAGACTTCCAAGAAACGTGTGGCGGGTTCTCGAGCCTCTACACTTGCAGGCCTTAGCCATCAGTCCCTGGAAGCCTGAGCTTATCTGTGTGTGTCTCTCTCTTTAAAATCTTTTCCGAAGGAAAACCCAGCGAGGCTTCCCTGTGTAAACTCTTGAACCAACTCTTTTTTTTTGGCAAATGACAAAGAATCACTTTACCATTAATCTTTGTAGAGACAAATCAAGAAGAGAATAAGGATTTACATGTGTGGATGGTAGGAGATGACTAAAAATGTTTTCACCTGTAACCTGAAGTAGTTAATGACATTCACTTGAAATTAACCGTCACTTGGGTACTCGAAGTATTCTAAATTCTAAAATTGGCAGCACAAGGGGCACCTGGGTGGCTCAGATGGTTAAGCGTCTGCCTTCAGCTCGGTCATGATCCCAGGGTGCTGGGATCGAGCCCCGCATCAGGCTCCTGGCTCAGCGAGGAGCCTGTTTCTCCCTCTCCCTCTGCCTCTCTCCCTGCTCATGCTTTCTCTCTCTCTCTCTGTATCTCTGTGTCTCAAATGAATAAATAAAAAAAAATCTAAAAAAAAAAAATTGGCAGCACAAATAGCCACTGGGCTTCCCATGGTGACAGAGGGTGGACAAAGCATGGACTTGCCCCACACTTAGTGAGGGGCTCCTGCTTGAATACCAAGGTTCCCAACATACCAGAGGGCTGGCTGATTCCATGAACAAGCAAGGAAGGATTCCCAATGATGCTATCCGGGCAAAAGATGTGGTGAATAACCTCCTGTTTTGCTTCAAACTAAAACAGGACAGAGATTCTAGTATGACGTTGGGGTAGAAATCCTAGGCCGAGTTCATCCCAGAGTCCACAGTTCATCCTGAGTAACATGGGTTTTTCTTAGAAGAAACATCCCATGCCCCATTTACATATATTTAACAACTTTTTGTGGGCACAGGGTAAGACTGAAGGTAAGAATGGAAGGCTTGTCCCTGTGGATGATGCTTTCCACTATACATATATGGCTTCATTTATATCTTCATTTCTTCCCCTTTACTGGAACCTGAGCTTTCCTCAGACAACGGTCTGTCTCATCTTCCCTAACCCGTGTTCTTCAATGTTATCATTCAATATGGTCTCCTTGTCTGCGACCTCCCACAGCTAATATACCAGCTGAGTGGGCCAACTTTCCCTTTACTGTTTGTTTATCCCATTCTCTGTTTTTCTTTGATAGAAGTATTTCATCCACCTATACTACCCTCTCCCTGCCTCGGTCCTGGTTGTTAATTTCCTTCTGTCCTTTACTCTCTACCCATCTGCACTATCCTTCTTAGCAGCTAGACTATTCCATTGGCCTTCCCGCCACTTCATAATCAGGCTGCATCTCTACCACTTCTACTCTGGGCAGGTAACCTTGCCTTAGACCTAACAGATCAAGGGCATCTACTCTCTTTCCACTCCAAAAAAATCCTTTCTCCTTCTTTCTCCTCCACCTCGGCAAAATGGATGTCCCTCTTTCAGATGACACAAAATTTGGAGGGATGATTACCTGGATAGAGGTCAGAATCAAAATTCAAAATGGTCTCAGACTAGAATATTAGGACAAAACCAGTGAAATAAAATAGAACTTTATAAGTCTAAAGCAATATGATGAAGTTCAAAAAGCCCCAGTTTTAGATTTAGGCAGACTCTCGTTTATATTCAGACTCAAACTATATTTTCCTCTAGTTAAGTCAACTGTTAAATGGGGATAAAAATACCTACCTCTTAAGGTTGTTGGGAAGGATAATTCCTTTATAATCCCAGCATAATTCCTGAAACAGTAAGTATTAGTTAGCCTTTCTTTCCTTGTCTTCCATAAAGCGTCTTCCATTTTCCAAGTCACAGGGGCCTGAAAATGAAAAATTCTGACCCGTTTACCTTGTACCCCAGAGCTGGTCACCATCTTAGAGAAATCCTCTGTCTATTTTGGCTTAGTCTGTGAGGGCAGACATTATCATTATCATACCCATCTTCCCATGAAGAATCCCAGGACTCAGAGAGATAGTAGGCAATGTGCTCCAAGTCACTCAGCTTGGTCAGTGGCATAACCTGATCCAGTGACTCCCAGATCCACAGATATCCACTACTTCACTAAGATAGATTCCCACACCTATCTTGTTCCTTTAACCTTCTAAATGGTTTTCCTGGTTCTCCTCTCTTGTCGATCCTTCCAGTCTACACAGTGACTGACTGCAGAGGGTTCTTTCCCAGCGGATACTTTCATCATTGTATCTTTGCCCTTTCAAACTTTTTAATGCCCCCCCCCCATTGTTCATAGGGTTCAGTCCAAGTTCTGACTGGGCACTTAAGGTTTACCGTAATCTTGTCCTAACTTACTTTTCCAAATTTATTTCCAGCCACCTCCCAAAAGGAAGTCCCAGCTTCACCCAGTCTGGTTGGGCCTACTGTTGGCTCACAAATACCAGTCTTAAATCACTATTTATGAGTGCTCGCTTCCTCCCTTAACAGAAATAGTTCCCTCTTCCTTTCATACATTTGCAAACCCTGCTCTCTTTTTGAGATCCAGCTCACATCCCCTTCCAGGAAGCCTACTGTGCACCTTCTACCCAGGCTTTTGTGATCTCTTCCTAATTGCCAACTTATGACATATGCCTTTACACTAGATGGTCTGTGCGTTGGGTCATGCAGTAATTTCTAAAGTTCACCAGGCCCCTCAGCATTGTGCCTGAAGAACGCTGAAGAGTATTCAAACATATTTGTTTACTGATCAGATGAAAGAGTACTGTGTCACTTGACTAGCCATAGGAACTATTACTTCTAAGAAACGAGTAAGGAATATAGCCATCCAGTGCAAAGTAAATTCATTTAATGGGATAGTTCCCAAACCCGTCTTTGCTTCAGAATCACCCAGGGACTTGAATACTGATTTCAGGGCTCATTCCAGATCGAGTCAAAATCGGGTGGGCAGGGGCAGGGAGGGAACTTGAAACTGCCAGAGTTTATATCCTAGCTTTACTAATTACTAGGTAACATGAAGCAAGTTACTTAACCTCTCTGTGCTTCAGTGTTTCTTCATCCAGGAAAAGGGTGTGATAATTGTACTTTATATGAAGTTGTGAATTAAATACTAAATAAATATAACCTATGATGATGATGATGATGATGATGATGATGAAAGAATTACCCAGGGTCAGTCTGGTGGCCTGAGTTTGGGAAGCACTGATTTAATAAGGAACCACTCCTTCCTCTGCTGAAGTTTCAAATGTTATGACCTTAAAACTTCTGGTATTAGCATTATGACATATTACAATAAGTCTTATTTGTCTTGAAAAGGTGGTATTTTAGGGCGCCTGGGTGGCTTAGTTGGTTAAGCGACTGCCTTCGGCTCAGGTCATGATCCTGGAGTCCCTGGATCGAGTCCCGCATTGGGCTCCCTGCTTGGCAGGGAGTCTGCCTCTCCCTCTGACCCTCCCCCCTCTCATGTGCTCTCTCTCAAATAAAAAATAAAATCTTTAAAAAAAAAAAGAGGTGTATTTTAAGGAAGAGGAGCCAAATAAACAGTTTTCAATTAAGCTTGTTTATTGAATCCAAGTCATGCAATGTACATTATGTGTGATTTTTTGAAAAGCTAGCTCCTCTTAGAAAAACAGCTACACTACTGTAACTACACAGATAATTCAACCAGCTTAGTATTCAAAAGGAAGCTGGATAAAGATGAAATAATATCATGATTTCTTCCACTTAGGACAATGAGTCAGAGGTTCTTTTTGAAGAAGCAGATTTTTAAATCCTCTGCTTTAATTCATTAGAAAAAAATTTTCAAAACTCGTTTTGGTCCATCAGATGCCAAATCAACAATATTTTAATGATACTAAAGGTAAGTGTATATAAATTGGGAAGCAGAGATTTTCTTCCTGAAGTGGCAAACTAACACTGGATGGGTAGACCCATCTTCTCAACTCTTGACTTAAAAATGGCCTATATCAACAGATACACAAAGGCCTTGTTTTTATTACCTATAATTCACCAAAGATTTGTAGTATCCTCTCTCTCTCTCTTTTTTTAAGATTTTATTGATTTATTTGACAGAGAGCGACACAGCGAGAGAGGGAACACAAGCAGAGGGAGTGGGAGTGGGAGAGGGAGAAGCAGGCCTCCCACTGAGCAGGGAGCCCGACGTGGGCCTCCATCCCAGGACCCTAGGATCATGACCTGAGCTGAAGGCACGGGCTTAACCAACTGAGCCACCCAGGCGTGCCTGTAGTAACCTCTCTTAAAAGACTTAAATAGCTCTGGGAGGGTAACAGGGTTTGAGAGTCATTCGAAGGTCAGGATTAACTAGTTCAATCAGATTGCTTTCTTTTTAACACAGGTCCATAGCATCTAAAGAATGGAAAGTTTGGGGCAAATCCGGTTTGGGAGAAACACAGAGCGCCTTGTGGCAGGCTGAAGGACTTGGGTCCAGAGCTTCTGGGGAGAGTTGCTGTAAGCAAAAGAATAGAATGAGGAAAGAAGATGGAAGTGTTTAAATAT